AGGCAATACTATTCAGGACAAAGGCATGGGCAAAGACTTCATGACTAAAACACCAAAAGCAATGGCAACAAAAGCCAAAATTGATAAACGGGATCTAATTAAACTAAAGAGCTTCTGAATAGCAAAAGAAACTACATCATTAGAGTGAACAGACAACCTACAGAATGGGAGAGAAGTCATGCAATCTACCCATCTGACAAAGGTCTAATATCCAGAATCTACAAGGAACTTAAATTTACAAGAAAAAAAAAAAAAAAAAAACACCAAAAAGTGGGAAAAGGATACGAACAGACAGTTGTTAAAAGAAGACATTTATGTGGCCAACAAACATTTGAAAGAAAGCTCATCATCACTGGTCATTAGAAAAATGCGAATCAAAACCACATTGAGATACCATCTCACACCAGTTAGAACGGTGATCAAAAAGTCAGGAAACAATAGATGCTGGAGAGAATGAGTTGAAATAGGAACACTTTTACACTGTTGGTGGGAGTGCAAATTAGTTCAACCACTGTGGAAGACAGTGTGGCAATTCCTCAAGGATTTAGAACCAGAAATACCATTTAACCCAGCAATCCCATTACTGGGTATATACCCAAAGGATTATAAATCATTCCATAAAGACACGTGCACACATATGTTTACTGCAGCATTGCTTACAATAGCAAATACTTGGAACCAACCCAAATGCTATCAACGATAGACTGGATAAAGAAAATGTGGCACATATACACCATGGAATACTATGCAGCCATAAAAAAGAATGAGTTCATGTCCTTTGCAAGGACATGGATGAAGCTGGAAATCATTATTCTCAGCAAACTAACACAGAAATGGAAAACTAAACACTGCTTGTTCTCACTCCTAAGTGGGAGTTGAACAATGAGAACACATGGACACAGGGAGGGGAATATCCCACACTGGCCTGTCAGGGGTTTGGGGGAAAGGAGAGTGAGAGCATTAGGACAAATACCTAATGCACGCGGGGTTTAAAATCTAGATGATAGGTTGATGGGTGCAGCACACCACCATGGCACATGTATACCTATGTTAACAAACCCACATGTTCTACACATGTATCCCAGAACTTAAAGAAAAATAAAAGAAAAAGAATCCAGCCTCCAGGAAATGGCAGAAGAGATTTTCCTCTTTGAACCATATGACCTGGTTTGAAATGGAGAAAATGCTGTCTTCTTCAGAGGCTGGCAGAGCTGAGATATCAAGTTCGAGGGCACAATAAAGGTGCATGGCCAACAGGTCAAAAGGACGTCTGCTGAACAAGCTACAGCAAGAGAGAAAGATAAGGCCACAGAATTCTTGGAAGATACTTTGACTTTCTTGAGACTAAGAAGTTGCCCATATTTGATGTATTTGTTCATCACAGCAGAGAATGGCAATTTAAATAATTTTTTTAGGGGACACATCAAATAGCCTTTGAGGAGAAAGCATTCACTCTTTGGACCACCAGCTACACACTGAATTTGATTAAGCTGGCAAACAACAGCCCCGTGTCTGAATGCATCTGTTTTTGTAAAGCAATAATCTAGGAATATTTTTTATTTTTAAAAAAATTTTATAAAAATATACTTATACACAAAGAAGAATATGTGAAACAAGCAAAACAATGTCTGCAAAACCTAAAACATTTACCATCTGACAATATACAGAAAATGTGCCAATTCCTAACCAAACCCAAATTTGGCCTATTAAAAAAATCTCCTTTTCTGCTTCCTCCTTTAGCTCTAAATTCTGTAATGGGATGCTATTCTTTGTTGTGACACTTTAGAGTGCTGCTGAAAAAAAAATGTGGAAAGGTAATGTGTAAAATTGCTATTAAAATGTTAGGTTTTTTTATTTATTTATTTATTTTTAATTTTTATTTATTTATTTATTTATTTTTGAGACAAGTCTTGCTCTGTCATCCAGGCTGGAGTGCAGTGGCACGAACTCGGCTCACCACAACCTCCACCTCACGGGTTCAAGCGATTCTTCTGCCTCAGACTCCCACGTAGCTGGGATTACAGGTACCTGCCACTATGCCTGGCTAATTTTTTTGTATTTTTAGTATAGACAGTGTTCCACCATGTTGTTCAGGCTGGTCTCAAACTCCTGACTTTAGGTAATCCACCCATCTCAGCCTCCCAAAGTTTTGGGATTACAGGTGTGAGCCACTGCACCCAGTCCTTTGATGCATTTTTAATTTAAAAAATAGCCTTGAATGAATTAAATTAACGCAGAGGGTGCAGCTGCCATGACCACATATAGTTAGTTATTTACTAGATGGAATTTGATGGACATATACCTAGAAGAACTGACTCAATCTACCAAAAATATTTATTGAGTGTCTCCTCCATGCAATGTGGTAAAACATATTACATATTCTAGATCTATAGAACCCTTGGACAATATAATAAAAGTCACTTCTGATGACTATCAATAACATAATCTATCTCTACAACATCTCTTCTCTAAGTCTGCTATGAAATCTGCTACAGGGAAGATCAAAGATCTGTCTGTACCAAGAAAACTAAAAGAGCATATCTACAAAATAGGCTTCTAAATACAGAACTACCATCAAGAATCATTACATTATTATTATTATTGCTATTTTGCTCTAAGTAAAGTGATTTACAGTCCCAGAATTATTGAAAATGTTGCAGATCCATGAATGCATTTCCCACATTTTGCATATCACAGTAGGACTCAGGCTTAATCAATATTCTCCTGTCTAACAACCTACTTGTATCCTCTGTAATACAAAAATTACATAGAAATCTGCTTCCCCAATTGGTTTCCTTTTTTTTTTTTTTTTTTGGTGACTGACATGAGTGGCTCCATTAAAAAAAAAGTCTAAGTGCAATATAAACTAAACATGAGACTTTAATTTAATGCTTTCCCTGTACTTCTGTGCACATCGACTTAATATATTGGCTGGAATTGAAATGACTCTCTAATAAGTCCTAATGCTCCAACCTAATATTTGCTTTTCTAAGAAGACATTCAGTATTAACGTTGTATTCAGTTATGATCGCTCAGAAACAATTTTTACATCGTATGGAAGTGATTTTCAATGTACTTTTCAATAAAAAAGTCACACTTCTTTAATGTCTTGGGGGCACCTGATATGACTGCATAAACTCAGGCAACCATCTTCAAATGAATCACCACCATTCACCTTTTATTATGACTGAATAAATGAGTAACACAGTCTCAAATAATTGCCAGTGATGCTTCAGGAACAAAGCGACATACTTCTGTCTGGTAGCATATGCCAAAATCCTTGGCTTGATTCGGTACCCACTTAAGAGACAGAATAGCATATAAACACTGAAAATTGCCCCTTGGTTTTCAGCTCAGACCAGGGATAAAGTGCTTAGCATTACACTCCACCTGGGTGCTACGGGAATGTCAATCTCCAAGAGTTTGCCTGCAGAAGATGTTGAGTGAGCATGAAAACTGTTCCGACAGTATACATTACAGGAATGAAGATTGTTAGAGCATTAGAGCATTACGCAATGTTGTTTTTGCTGTGGCCTTTCTTAGGCAGCTAGTATGCTGATTAGCTTTCCGGAAAACAAGCTGTGGAAGGAATCTTTGCACAGAAGTGTGGAAAGCATCTCGTATCTTCACAAAGAGATGATTGAAATGGTATCTTTTTATATTATAAGGAAAATTTACTCCAAGTTAACATGGCAAAAATATAATTTTTACTCTCAACAGTAGCCTTTGTATATATGTTTGTTCTCAATAAAACATTATACTTTGGGATAATAACTGAGGAAAATGTACTTGAGAATCCACAATTAATTATTTTTTAACTTTTAGGTTCAGGAGTACATGTGCAGGTTTGTTGTATAAGTAAACTTGTATCACAGGAGTTTGTTGTACAGATTATTTTGTCACCCAGTATTAAGCCTAGTACCCAATAGTTACTGTTTTCTGTTCCTCTCCCTCCCACCCACCCCCCAATCTCAGGTAGGTGCCATTGTGTGTTATTCCTCTCTGTGTGTCCATGTGTTCTCATCACTTTCTCCCACTTATAAGTGAAAACATGCAGTATTTGGTTTTCTCTTCCTGTGTTAGTTAGCTAAGGATGATGGCCTCCAGCTCCATCCATGTTTCTGCAAAAGACATCATCTCATTCTTTTTTATGACTGCATAGTATTCCATGGTGTATATGTAGCACATTTTCTTTATCCAGTCTGCCATTGATGGGCATTTAGGTTGATCCCATGTTTTTGCTATTGGATAATCCACACATTAATTTATGCTACAGTAAAATTTAAAAATTCTTAAAAATCTTTCTCTGCTGCTTCCTTTATCCTACAAAATTCTCCATAGACCTATCTGAATTTCAAACTGCTGGAATTTGTATGATGAAGAACAAGCAAAGAAAAATAGGAATTAAGAATTGTTTTGGGGGCCTTGCCATTGTAAACTGACTTATTCCACATAGGTTATTGACTTCTCACATATTATCATCTTCATTTCCAGGAATCTTTGACTCTCTCAGCACCCTGGGAAGCAACTTTGCTTATTCTTTTTCATGAAGTTTATCTGGATTTCATTCACTTGAATCTTAACACTTATTATATATGCTATGTATAATATATACTGTATACTACATTCATCCTCTATATTCTATATACCATATAGTTGCTATACTCTATAACATGAATACATACACATATATAACAACATACACATGATATCTATTACCTATACATGCACATACACGGTTTGCACTCATTTCAGTTCCATTTGTCTTGATGTCTACATGGTGAGCAAGTGTCCACAGTGAGTTTTCATTTGCTGGAAATGCAACATGAGAACCTGAAAAAAAGCACTAGCTACTTAAAAGTCAAACTGTCTAGTCTCACTAAGAACAGTCATGCTGCCCTGGACTTAGAGGTGGCAGTATATATGTCCTTCTCTCTATACGAGCACTAGGGCAGTCTTCCAATGGCTGCTGAATATTTCTCATTTCATTGGATTAAAAGAATCTTCACTCAAATCCTGTAAACATATTGGACATATCTCAGAAGTTGTATAAGAATAATCACATGTTATTCACCCTCATATCTAGGGTATATGTGTCATGAAAGTGCAAGCAGTTTCTCTTAGGTATTATGCAGGACTAGAGAAGATGGTGCATCTGTGACTCTCAATAGTGAGATTTGTAGATTTCTCTGCTATTTTACCGGCTTTCATTGCTATGATAAATAAGCATGCAGAGTAACATTAATTTATTTCAAAATACACATAGATACATAATATATGCAGCAGGTCCTAATCATTGAATCTATGCTTCATTTTTCACTCTTCATCCATAAAGATCCATATAAAAACAGTTGTGTAGAGCTCACCCATTTGGTCAAAAGAAACTTGATTATTTTTTAAGTTAATGATTTTAAGGAAGTTCACAGAAAGATAAGGGGTTTGGGCTGAGGGCATTATTGTTGGTAAACAAACTGTGCTAATTTCATGTATTAATATAAAGAATGTATGAAATAAATTAGCACCCTGGAAAACAAGGGACACCTTGATTAAAAGAATCTTCACTCAAATCCGATAAATATACTGGACATTTCTTTAGATTAGTAAGTTTTTCTATCAGAATAAAAAAGTGCCAGTAGTATTAATCCATTATGAGCATTTCTGCCTTGTGCCAACTTAAACTGTCTAGTCTCAACCTAGCAACCGGGGGGAGGTGAGAAGATCCAGCAGCGGCAGCGGCTCACTGCAGAACTGCTTTCTTCTTCCCGTCCTAAACAAAGCCCACCTACGTATCCTTCGGATACCCCAGGATCACCACCGTCAAGAGAGTAAATTCACACTGTAACAATTGCGAGGGCCCCTGTGTATTCAGAATGGCTTGATTCTTAGTTATTTTTCTTCTGTTTGAATTTCTAAAGGCAGTGACAGAATTTTGACCATATGGAAGATTTCAACAGCTTACAACAGTAGTTTTTAATCTAGATGTATCTTTAAAAAACAAAATTATACAAATAGAGAGTAATACATCTGATATCTATTACAGTTCTCTAAAAAATCAAAGGCATTTATTAATATTCGTGTAAAATAAGGAAGTAATTTTTATTCGTTCCTAATCTACATAATGAAAATAAACCAATGACATAAATAACTAACAGGAATATCATGACATTAAAAGCCACTAGGGTCATTAGTGAAGTTTAATTTATTTACATATCTTTAGATATTATGTGATAGCAAAAGTTGTTGCTAGGACACAATTTATATCTATTTCCTGGAAGAGGAAGACAATTGAACAGAAGAGATACTCATGCATCGCTTAAGAAGGAGAATATGGTCTGGGAAATAGGACATTTTGTCATTGTGTAAACATCACACAGTTTATTTACATGAACCTGGATGGTACAGCCTACTACACACCTAGGCTGTATGGTACCGCCTGTTGCAAACCTGTACAGTATGCTACTGTAGTAAATACTGTAGGCAACTGTAAAACAGTGGTATTTGTGTATACAAAGTTATCTAAACATAAAAAAGTAATGTGTTGCACTATTGCATTATGACAGGTATGATGTCACCAAGCAATAAGAATTTTTAGGTCAGCTCCACTATAATCTTACAGGAGCACCATTATATATGCAGTCTGTCCCTGACCGAAATGTCCTGACGGGGCTCATGACTGTCTATGATAATGAATCTGGTCTTGCTACCACATCATTTAATTATGCACCACATGGGGTGGTATCAGCCAATGAATTCTACAATGTAACTTTGGGAAAGGTCATCACTAGGGACCATCTGTGATGTATTGTGAGGAGAGAGAAAAATCTACGGGTATTGTTCTTCCTTTCTTCAAAAAAAAAAGAAAAGAAAAGAAAAGAAAACTGCAATGGAAAGAACCTAGAGTTAGATGCAGAGCCATGAAAATGTATTTAATTTCCTTCCTCAATACCAACAGTCATTTTATAAATAAGTCCTCCTAAGGGTTATATTTAAAACTGTGGCATCATGGAAACAAGTTTTGTCTCTAGGAAGATGCATTTTCAAATCCCCATTCTTTCTGTTAATAGACAGGTGACTTGAATAAGACGTTTATGTCTTTGAGCCTCAGTTTTCTCTTTCATGAACTATGGATAATGCTTATTTCATGTGAATATTGTGAAGATGAAATAAGATACATATAATGGGCTCCCATTAATAATGATGATGATGAGAACTACCACTGACAGTATATGCATCATATACTAAGAATTTGTATGAGTAATATTGTATTAGATCCCCCAAATGAGTTTTCTTTTGCTCTCTTTCTTCCACGGTACTCCAGCCCAATGTTTAGACATTGCTATGAATCCCCCTCTATATGTGGAAGTAAATAGGTGGCTATCCAGTGAACTAAACTCCACTTAGGAATGTATAGGATCAAAGACTACTGCTCTTGGGAGCAAAAAATAGAGCTGTAGTTTGGAGACCATGCCTTCCCACAAAGAATACAACATTCCACCAGGAAACCTCGTAGGCTGAGAGCCCAGAAACGCTAGATAAAGACTTGATCTAAATCCAGTTGCATGGGACTGTGGTGAAAAATAGTAACCCAGGCCACATAGTCTCTTCAGAGTCCCAGGAAAGAGGACTGTGATAATAAATTTCTGTTTTGTTATGTTGTGCTCCACAAATAACAACTTGATCTGGGTGGTAAAGGCATACTGAAGCCAATAGCCTTTGTGACAGACTAAATGATGAATATTTCCAAATTCCAGGTGATCAGGAATGTAAAATCTTTGGATGAATAAAATAATTAATTTGCAGAGAATGGCCAAATGTTTTCAGCCAGTATTTGAGTTTTGGCAGCTTTTCTGTTTTGGCTGGCTTTAGAATACTGACTAGCTCTCTTTATCCAGGAAGGTACTATAACATCTGAAAAACTCACCTGTAAACTCCCCCGTCTGTGCCCACATACGTTTAATTTCTCTTTTCTCTTAGATTAAGTTGGGAGAGGTGTAAGTGGCAAGAAGTAAACAAAAATGTGACATCTGTACTACTTCACAACAGACCCCTTTAGAAGCCATGATCATAAAATAAGTTTTTTGACTGAAACATCTAATCACTTTAGTAAAAACAGTAAATATTGTACAAATAGCTGCAGTCTACTTGAATTTACATTATTAAAAGATAAAGAAAGTAGCCTCTATTTTTGCATCCCTTTAACCACCAACTCTTCTTGGTGTAGGGGTAATAGAGAAACACCACAAGCCTTGGATACCTGCAAATTACATCATCACAGCTAATAAGATATATAAGGCAGCCTTACCAAAGAACGAGAATTGTGTATTCTTGAGCTTCTAACTCTTTTTTTAGTAATTTTTCTCTGCTCTGAGTTATATGTTTATCTTATGGCATTTGCCTCACTTTATCTTGTCTGAAGTTATTTTATGTTAATTTTCTATTCCTTGCTAGACTATAAAGACTTCAAGGGCTGAAACGATTGATGCATACTGACCAGATCAAAGTTGTCATGATGTGACTTACAGCCCAATAAAATGTAACAAGATGATATTTTCAAGGCTTCTATGACAATTGCACCATGATGCATATGCAGGCGCACACACACACACACACGTGCATGCCTAATGAGCTGTATCTAAACAGCTGCACTGTGTTTGTTAGAAATGTGGGCACTTCTGTAAGAGTGCAGTGGCAGCAGCGGCAGCATTTCTTAGGTTGCATAATGCTTCCTTGTTGGATTTTGCTTGTTCAATTGCTCATGCAGGTTGACTACACCCCTGTTGCTTCTGCTGTCAGTAGGTTTTCCTGAAAATAAGATGCTGCAACTCAGTAGGTGGGAATAAATCAGCACAAATAAACAGCACACATACTCATTCCTTTGTGCTTAAAGTACTTAGTTATGAATCTCTATGAAACCTACATACTGTTAGTTCTCTAAAGAACTCCAAACTATAGAGCACGGCACAAAATTATATTTTACACTCCCACTGTTCAATCTGGGTGTTATATTAGCATTCAAATGTTTGGGGGTTTAAATGGCCTCTTCTTTCCAGCTCAATCCTGCTGCCTACAAATTCTAGTCATTGAAGTCAGTGCTTTAGTTAACAAGTTATGGAAAAAGCCAGAATGAATCAAAGACTCATAGCTAATGTGGGGTGTATAGAGGCCCAGATAGAGTAGTAAAAGAAAGGCTAAGACAGAATTGCCAAAGTAGAGAGCAGCAGCCTCCTTCTCCAACATTTGAAGCAAAACCAAATGAATGCAGCTCCACCATATTAACATTGCTTTTCCTAGACTAACTTGGCAGGGGATTCCCACACAGCGAGGAAACCCTAATGGCCTGCCAACCATTGGAGCAGTGCTGCCTTTCTAATTACACATATTTCCATGAATTATAACTTGGTGTTTTATCCGTGCAATCAATTTGGAAGACAGCTGAGAACCACATCAACTTTTCCATGTTCTTTGATTTGGAATATTAAGACAACATTATTAAGTCTTTGTAAATGACATTATTAATAGCTGCCTGAGTATAGCATACAGAAACACCAGTGTCTTCTTAGTAGCCATTACAATAATTTCCAGTTTTTCTTGATTATTATTAATTATTTTATGACACCATTTCACAGCAGTTAGTGGTTGTTCTTCCTACAGTCTCGCTAACAATAAACAAAATTCCCTGGTCAAAAGTGATGAATATTTATAAGGGTACTAAGTCAAATTATTTTAAATAGTTTTATTAACATTCCAGTGTGATGTGGAATTCCTATTCACTGAATTCTAAATGGCATCAGATATTCTCACTTGAAAACTAATTGATTTTTAAAACAAATCAATGGGAAAATTGGAAGATCACTCATTAGTAGAATTTACATTACTTTGGAAATTATACGTGATTCTTTCCCATGTTTATTAGCCATTTATATTTTTTACTTAATAATCATTTTTTAAATTCCCAAAATTGCTGGAATTCCTGGAAAAAGGAGTCAAAATAGAATGTAAATTTTATGTAGCTTCATTGCATACTTTTGCATAACTAACTTTCTGAGAAGCTTAAGGGCTGAGAAAAGAAACAAATTTCCTAATTATCTATACATTCACTTCTGCATTTTGTATGAGCACATCAATTATCTATAAAACTGTTCAAAAACGATCCATTGTAATGTAGAGTAACTTGCTCTCTGGAATTCTGTATGCCTCATAAAAAACAATTTCCTTCTTCCTTTTATAATATAGAGTCAGAATAATCTTGCCAAATAATAGAAAATGCGAAATGCGTCCACGTACAATTCAGGCAGAAGGGTATTAAAACACGTGAAATCACTTGGAAAATACATAATTTCTCAGAGTCATTAATAAAAGCATAAAAGCAGCAGCAGTTTGATACTAAGACATGACACTAAAATATTTTAAAATATAGCTCTTTGCAGTCAGCACTATTTTACTGCAGAAGAACAATGAAATAAAGCATAAATCATAATCAGCCACTTATCCATCTCATTTAAGTGTTTGTTTCTAAGGATAACTGTGACATTTTTGGGAATGCCTAGTAAAATTATTAATAGTGTATCTAGTTGATTTATAACTTGCCAGAAAAGGAGGTGACTGAAAACACTTTGTAGAACGTTCCCCAGTTGATACTGATTTGTATTTATGAGAACTTTCTTCCAGATAAGAGGTCACCATTTCCTGTTCTAAGTGGCTTTTACACATTCTGTGGACTCATGATCTTAAATCAATTGATCCAATTCAATAATAACTATATTAGTTTCATAAGATCCTAATCTTAAGACTGTACTTCACCAAATCACCCGTAATCTTCCTATTCCCTTGTCCCCAAACACTTTCTCATTCTTCCAACAATCAACTTGGGTCAAATAATTAATAATCTGAGAATAAAGAAACAACTACAATACGACTTTGTGTAATAAAAGTAGATTATTAAAAACTTTCCCCCTACATTCTTAGAATGTGTCGATAAAAGGACAGTTAGAAATGAAATCAATACATTCTCAAAAGAGCTCAGTATAATTTTTTTTTTTTTTTTTTTTTTTTGAGATTGAGTATCACTCTGTCACCCAGGCTGGAGTACAGTGGTGCAATCTCTGCTGACTGGGCTCACTGCAACCTCCGCCTTCTGGCATCAAGTGATTCTCCTCCTCAGCCTCCCGAGTAGCTGGAACTACAGGCATGTGCCACTATGCCCAGCTCATTTTTGTGTTTTTAGTAGAGATGGGGTTTCACCATGCTGGCCAGGCAGGTCTCAAACTCCTGACCTTGTGATCTGCCCACCTCGGCCTCTCCCAAACTGTTGGGATTACAGGCGTGAGCCACCGTGCCCAGCTGAGTTCAGCATAATTTTCAAAGAGAAAATTGAAACTAAATTTTATAATCAAAGAGCATGTTTGCTAGAAGCCATCATTCTCAGCAAACTAACACAGGAACAGAAAACCAAACACCGCATGTTCTCACTCATAAGTGGGAGTTGAACAATGAGAACACATGGACACAGGGAGGGAAACGTGCACTGGGGCCTGTTGGGGGGCTGGAGTGCAAGGCGGGGGATAGCATCAACACAGATACCTAACACATGTGGGGCTTAAAACCTAGATGATGGGTTGATAGGTACACCATGGCACAGGCATACCTATGTAACAAAGCTGCATGTTCTGCACATGTATTCCACAACTTACAGTAAAATAAAATATATGAATAATATATATGTTTATATATAATATATAAATATGTAATATATAATATTATATATGTATAAATTTATAATACATATTATATAAATTTGGCTATGGAGTTTTTGATCATATATTGAACAAATTGTCAGACCTACTGATATTGACCCTGATTCATCAGGAATATATGCTAACAAATACATAAACAATGACTAATGCCATGGACTAATACACAGACTAATGCCATCCCGAATGTACAAAGTACAATGTGCTATTGATTAAAACCTCGAGAAACTGAACTCTGTAGTGCAGGAGTTCCCAACCCCCAGGTCCGTTAGGAACAGGGCCACACAGCAGGAGGTGAGCAGTGGGTGAGCGAAATTTCATCAGTATTTACAGGTGCTTCCCACTGCTCACATTACGGCCTGAGCTCTGCCTCCTGTCACATCCGTGGCAGCATTAGATTCTCATAGGAGCACAAACCCTATTGTAAACTGCGCATGCGAGGGATCTAGGTTGCGTGCTACTTATGAGAATCTAATGCCTGATGATCTATCACTGTCTTCCATGTCCCCGTAGATGGGACCAACTAGTTACAGGAAAACAAGCTCAGAGCTCCCATTGATTCTACATTATGGTAAGATATATATCATACTGTAATAACAATGGAAATAAAATGCACAATAACTGTAATGCACTGGAATCATCCTGAAACCATCCTCCTCCCCCTGTCTGTGGAAAGCAGTCATCCATGAAACTGGTCCCTGGTGCCAAAAGGTTGGAAGCTGCTGCTGCAGCGCATTCAAACCAGTATAATTCAATATACACAATGCAGAATTTATATTTAAGTAACATTTTTGTTAATCTCAAGTAAAAAATTGTATTCATATGAATACATAAAAAACTAGGCATTTTCCCATTGGAAATGACAAATGCAGAATGGGACCACCTTATTATGAACAGAAACAAAATCGTAGAATATGTAATAGAATCAGAAGACATACAGTCTGTGAGGCATCTGTTGATAGTATTATATGTGCCCTCTTTATCTTTGGAGATTAGAAGATAAAAATTTCAAATTATTATTTTTGCTGTGTGGGACTTAGTATGGAAATACTTAAAAGTCAACTAAATGCAATTTGCACTGAATTTCTTAAAATTACACAGCATCCATTATTAGATTATTCATAATCTTTCAGACTCACGGGCAAAGGATAATAATCATGTAATAGAAAACTAAAAGTGTTCACATATTAATTTCAGCCATTTTTCCACAAATCAAATTATGAGTGAGCCAGGCCACTTCTAGATATTACTGAATGTGCTCACTTTGTTTCTATGATCATTTTATAAATGGGCATCATTTTGCATGCTTCACTGGCTCAAGAATGGTTTGCCAAATTGGTGGGCTACTTTGCCAATCCTTCCTAACTTTTTTAGACATCGGAAAATGAAAATCTGCTGGAATCTGCATTGAAAGAGATAAAATATATGCTTTGGAATATGTACAAGAGAAGGGTAAACTATTTCTGTTGGTTAAAGGAGGAGAGAGATGAAAGCAGTGAAGAACATATTTAAATAGCATTAAATTCAGCAGCTAGAGGGGCAGTGATTGTGATGTTTATTCATTCATGCATTCATTTATTCAATACACATCACTGCGGTCCCATACCAGGCACCACATTCATCCTCTTGTTTGGTATCAGTAGCATTTTGTGAATTATAATACAACAGAATAAATTCAGCATTAAGACAACTCATTTGTGACAATATGTCTGGGCTCATCAAGAGCACATTTGACATAAAATTCTGAGACCTATTATTTACATTTCATTCTGGTGCTAATTGGATTCTGGAATTCCACTAACTATGGAGACTTTCTCCGTGTGTTGTTTCTCCAAACAGCAGTGCAGCAAAAAGTATTTTCTAACCTAATTCAGCTTCCCCTATGAGAAATATTTGCCAAATCAAACAATGATCAAAGAAACTATGAATTTATTGTTAATTTATGTACTGTTTTGTGGATAAAGAGAAGAAATAAAAATGATAAATCCTTTCATTATTAATAAGAAATACCTATTAAGTACTTATCTTAACCCATTTACTGTCTTCTGTAGGAGCAATCAGGACTGAAAACTTGAATGATGACAGGTATTTAAGCATGGGTCACTGAGAAAATGATGGTACTACAAACAGCAATGGAAATATATTTCAACAATACAAGGGACCTTTTAGCACTTGTAAGTTCATTTCTGAAACACTGCATTTAGGAATTGGCATGCTGTCCAGTTGGAATTGACAGGTGTAGGACCAACATGTAACTCAGGAGCCAGGTCCAGGACCCAGATGGTACAATTAAGAGTGACTGAATGAGAAACTGGCTGAGATAATTTGGCACATGAGACCTCTGAAGGAGAGAAGTTAAAGCCAAAAGGAACCCAAGATCTGAAATTTGGGTTATTCTCTAGTTTATCAATGAGCAAAGGAAAACAGAGTAAGTTTCCAGGAAGACGTGGACATGGACAGCTGTGACTGTCAGCATGAGGTAAGAAACAGTTCTCAATCTTGCCACTACAGAACTTTGGTCTTTTGTGTCTAATAATAACAATAATATAATAAATTAAAAATTAAGTTGAAATGAGAGATATCCATTATATATGTTTACAATGTGATGTTTTTAAATAATGATGCACCATGTTCTCAGGAAACAGCACGAGAGATGGATGGGAAGTCACTCTCCCCTCACTCAGTGGGATCCGGTGCCTTAGCCTTTGGAATATGTGCAGGACACATGGCCAACTCCCGCAATAGCTTTCCCCTTTGATGCATCACTACCACCCTGACCATTCATGTGCTGGCTCTTTCTTATTCTACAGGTCTCACCTCAGACATCATTTCCTGTAGACCAGCCGTCCTACCTAGAGTGAACATCCCTCCGTTCAAGTTTGTTACGGTTTGGCTGTGTCACCACCCAAATGTCATCTTGAATTGTAGTTCCCATCATCTCCACCTGTCCTGGGAAGGACCAGGTAAGAGGTCATTGAATCATGGGGCGGTTACCCCCATTCTGTTCTAGTCATCCTGAGTTCTCACGAGATCTGATGGTTTTACAAGGGCCTTTCCCCCACTTTTACTCAGCGCTTCACCTTCCTGCCTCCATGAGAAGAAGGATGGGTTTGCTTCACCTTCTACCATGATTGTAAGTTTCCTGAGGCTTCCCCAGCCCACAGAAATGTGAGTCAATTAAACCTGTTTATACATTACCCAGTCTCAGATATGTCTTTATTAGCAGTGTGAGAACGGACTGATCCAAGGTTTTTCCCCCTGGTTATTTCCTTCAATGATTGCAGACCTTTGATGACTAGAGTGTGGTAAGCTCTACGTGAGCAGAGGCCAAGTCCATTTTTGTTCATGGGTTATATTCATGATCCCCAGCAGAGGGTCTGGCACCTAATAGGCACTAGTATTAAATGAACAAATAAATGAATAAATGACACCACGCTAAGAATTTTGGATGCTATGGAGAATGTAGAGATAAACACTCAAGGTTTTGGCCTGGAGGAATATGGCAGCCGTGTACCACACCAATTTCCTCAGCATATGAATTCTTCAAGCACACCGAGTGGTTCTCCGCCTGAGCATGTTTTGTGATTGCTGTACACGCTCAGTCTGTTCTGGCTAGGCTGGGAGGCCTGGGAGTACTTTTACAGGGAGCGCTTCTCAATTAGTACCAGAGGAATTTGGCATGTCGATATCCCAACTTCTTCCCTAGCTGAGATGCCACGAGGTCTTATAGAGATTCTCAAAGGGATTGAGTCTCAAGTTTCCAGATCATTAACTTGCACCTTAACACACATCCTTTCCTTCCCTGTCTCTTTCCTGTCCCAGAGTCCCCTGTAAGTGTGATTCCTAAGATCAGTTCCCAAACAGAAACTTTGTTTCAGTTTCAACTTTCAGAAGAATCGGCCTGCAACAAGAAACTTATTTTCTGGTAAGAAATAGCATGCTTACATCGCTCCAGCAAAATGTTAAAGGTAATAAGGCTCATAGGAGAGCATAATGTTAAAGGTAATAAAGGGTAATAAGAATAGAAGCACAGAGCAAGGGCTATGGAAGTGCAAGAGAACTGAACCTAGAAGAATCCATTAGAGATGACATTTAAAGAAAAACAGAAACGTGCATTATATACACAACACCTTCCCAAGTCAGTTGCCACAGTTTACACCTCACTTGGGTTAAGTTGGAGAGAAAATTTGAAGATAGCCATGAAGAAATTCCTAGCAGAAGGATATTCCTCACAGGGTAAACAGCACAGCAGATTTGTATATAGAACACACTGAGTGCTTCTGTGTGCCTATGCCATAGGCCTCGCAAAGAGGCTTGGTAAGAGGATGGGTTATAAAGGAACT